ACCTTGGGTTCTGGCTTTGGACATTGCATGAAGTCTTATAGAATTTAATATTTCTACAGTGTACATGGTGTATTTTCAGCACAGACCTTGACAGAAAGATTAATAAGTACTATATGTGCACACACGCATATCCACTTGACTTCTCAGACCTCCAGTGTATGCTGTATAAATGAAAGTTGTATAAGAGGCAACTCCACAATTACATTGTTCTTTGCTTGTAAATTGAGCAAGGCTACAGAACTGTTGATCTATTTATTTTAACATATTTTATAAAGTTCTAAATGTAAATTGTACAAGTCATAGCATAAAGTGAATTACCAGAGGCGGTTTGGTTCTTTGATCTCTTTCTCTTCTGTGCTTAATTTAGCATGCCTCATTTGAAAAGTAAGGTTAAGACATGAGTAATATGCTCTTCTTATAGCCTGGTAAAGTACATGACTGTGTAGCACAGGCTTATATATAGTATTCTTTTTTTAGTTTGTTTTTCTCTTATTATTTTGGCAGTATTAAACTCATTCACCTTCCTTCAGTCTTGCCATAACCTCTTTGAGCAAATGGTAATTCCTCTCATGTTCAAATGAGGAATTAGTACCTAATCATCAGAAGAGAACGCAAGAACCTGTTACTACTCCCAGCTGAACCTAATAATGAATTTTATTATTCATTATAAGTAGAATCAGGTCCCAAAACTTGGGAGAAGAGGAAAGGAACACAAGACTTCTGTGCATTGCATGGATTGTGGTAGCACTTCTGATAAAGATTGATATCTGTCTTTCTGTATATTTTGGGGGAATGGATATGCCTTTGGGTGTTAAATCTGTTATTTTATGGGTTGGATTCCTTAATAAATAATGTTTTAAAAATGTCAAACTTTATCAACTATTATCACAAGCTTGCCACAGTTCTCTTCTGTTCTGAGTACAGCAAATAGGTACAGCAATCTCAGGAAACATTTTGTCATATCTAGTGGGAAAATATTCATGGTGAACACAGCATTAACACCATGCCTAAGAAACACCAATTATTTTGCTTCATAGTATGGCCACTGGAAACAATACAGACACTAAGCAAACTTTTCTCTCTGTTCCTTCCTTTGAAGACAAAGACAGGGATTTGTTTGCTGCAGGATGGTAACCAGGAGCCTTTCAAAGTGCGACTGCACTTAGCCAAAGATATTTTGATGATCCAGGAGCAGGATGTGATCTGTGTGTCTGGTGAGCCTTTCTATTCTGGTGTAAGTAGTCTTTATTCCTTCTGTTAAAGTGTATTATGTTAACAACATGGGAAAGTTATATGTGTGTGGGGGCATGAGCAGGAGTATGTGTACATGTGCAAGTATACTATATATGTGTTTTTCTTCCACTTGCTATTCCCTTTAATGGAGATATATCTAAGTACATTTTGAATATGGTATCTGTATTGAGCTAATGCTTCACAGTACTGGTCTTGGTTTGGCCCTCCTCTGATCCCATAGTATGTACTCTCTCTTTCTCTCTCTCTCCCTCTCTCTCCTTTATCTCTCTCTTCTCTCTCTCTCTCTCTCTCTCTCTCTCTCTCTCTATATATATATATATATATATATAAATAAAATAGTTGCAACAGTTCTGCTTAAAAGTGTGTTTATGGAGTACCTGTGTTAAAACATACAGGAATTTTTCAAACAGTAAAATGTATCAGTTCTGGGCAAGATTGATTACTACAGGCATGTTTATTTAAAAATCAGTGTTTTCAAATATGCCATTTACACTTCTATGTGCTCAGGGAGAGCAGGGTTTAATAGTAATGGGTGGGGTGGGAGGAAGGAGCTGCAGGAGGAAGACATTAGATGGGACAGAGGGCAAGGGGGCTACCTGACTCCCAAATTTATTTTTCTTGCTGTAGCAGTGGGAAGGAGAAAAATTCAAGACTAAACATCCAATAACTAAATTGCATATCTGGAAAGTTATAACAAATTTATAAATTTTCCATGTATAGAATCTAATTACGGGGGGAAGGGTTTTGTATATTCAGGGTCATCTTATATTCAAGTAAATATGGTCTATTGATATAACTGTTCCTTTAAGCTGATATTGGTTGCTTGATATATTGCCTTGACATTGAACTACCTCTTAGCTACATTCCAGAAATTCATTAGTATTACTGAAGTGATTGACTGGAGTTCAAATATTGAAACCATTGACTGATGCACTTTCAAGGCATTTTGATAGTTTTTGCTGAGTTTTAGGTGATAGAAGAGAGCAACCTCTTACTTTAAACTCCTGCTGAATTTAATAGGCACAAAAACAATGTAGTTCTATAGTTTAATTGCATTTTATCAAAAATTACTCTCAAGATCTATAGAATTACATGGACATGAACAGAAATACTTTTGATATAGGCAAACTACCCAGCATATTTCTATATCAAGGATTGCATTTTTTCTGGGTTTTTTGTTGTTGCTTTTAAATAAAATTTCATAGGATGTTTCAAAAACCCATAGAAATCCACTTACTTTTAATATCTCTCTATATTTTTATAGATAGTATATTATCCAAGGGGGGTGCTTGTTTGCTCATAATTTACTGGAAACTGTTATAAAATCCTATACTCCTTTTGAGCTAATGAGGTTATCAGAGTACTTCATGTTACATGCTATGAGAGACAACAGTGTAATGTACTATGCAACATATCTGGGATTGCTCCTAGATCTAATAATACTTCTGTCATGCCCCTATTTTATAGTATCTCTAACTATAATTGTAGTAAAAATATACTGAATACATAGCCAAAATCAACTCAGAGTATGTCACCAGTAGTAGAATAACTACTCAGGGCCATGTCCAGACAAGCACAGGCATGTAGTATGCGGTGCATCTGTGATCCCACATACCACACATTCAGGTGGAGATCCCAGGGTCAAAAAAACCTGCGTGAAAAAAAAGGTGAGCAGTGTACGCAGGGGCAGCATGCCCACCCAAAACTGGAGCCTGGCCGGCCAGAGCCATGCTCGAGCTGCCAGCCAGTCTCCAAGTGGCAGGATCACCACTGCTGCAACCCCAGGAGGCTCCCTGGACCCCAGGTAAGGCTGCTGGGGTCAGCACAGTGCTGGCCCCAGCCTTCCCTACTCCGCCCAGGGTAACCTGCCGTGTATGGCACAGGCATTCCATGTGGAAAAGTAACAGTGACCCAAGGTGTGCCACTGCTTCTTGTCCCTGGGGAAACAAACATCCACACTCCCTGGATGAGGCCTCCAGAAATCCGTACCCACAAAGTGAACAATTTTCCATACTCTATTTAGCCACTGAGAAGTAAAACCCCAGCTGAAGTAGTCAAAGCCATGCACATGTAGGCCAAACCTACATAAGAAAATCTCAGTGGAAGTGGATACATAGGCTTTTTAAAAATCTCTGAAAGGCTGTAAGTCCTCCTTCTGTGAATATTATGGTTATTTCTGTTGACACTGGGTACATCTACGCATGCAATTAATGCAACACAATTAACTCCGGAGCCATTTTGAGTCACAGTACAATTCTCCCAGGCACAGCATCTATATGTGTGCTTGGGACAGCAGCAATTTAAGCCAGGACAGAGCAGCCCTGGGCTGGCATGGGTCACAGGGGGTGCATCCACACATGTAGGCATGTGCACTTGCAGCAGCTCAAACAGAAGTGGTGCAAATTTAATAGTTTCATAGATGCTATAGACATTTGGGGCTGCAAGGGACCTCGTGAGATCATCGAGTCCAGCCCCACCAACATAGCCAGGAAGTCAGCTGGGATCAAGTGGCCCCAGCAAGAAATACATCCAAATGTTTTTTGAATGAGTCTAGAGTAGGTGCTTGCACCACCTCTTGGGGGAGTTTGTTTTAGACCCTGGACACACACACCATGACGAACCTTTTTCCTATGTCTAGTTTAAATCTGCCTTCCTGGAGTTTATAGCCATTAGACTTTGTTATCCCTTGGGGACCTCTGGTAAACAAGTCCTGATGTACCCCTCTTATGTAATAGTACATAGAGGTAAGACTGACTGACCTCAAGTTACCTGGCTCATCCCTTCTCTCCTTCTTAAAAAATGGGCACCACGTTGGCCCTTTTCCAGTCCTCAGGGACGTTCCTGGAGCACCATGAGTGCTCAAACAGCCATTCCAGTGGCTCAGCTATGACACTGGCCAATTCCTTCAGCACCCGTGGATGGAGGTCATCTGGGCCTGCTGACTTGTACCCATCCAGCCCCTCCAAGTGCTCCTCAACTAAGTCAGCAATAACCATTGGTGGTCTAGTGCCTCCTGGACATCTATCCATGTTCAAATTGAGGGAATTGTCTTAGCCAGTACTTAGGAATACTGAAGCAAAGAACTCACTGAAGAGCTCCAACTGACCTGATTTGTCGTGCAGGGGCCCTATGTTACTCTGTGCCCCCCTTTTGCTCAGTATGCATCTGTAGAAGGACTTTTTTATTGTCCTTGATTATTGTGGCCAGCCTAAGCTCCAGCCCTGCCTTGACCTACCTAACTGATTCCCTGCAATAGTGAGCCAGGGATGTATATTCCTCCTTGGTGGCTGCCCCCCACATCCACTGCCTATAGATCTCTTTCTTTGCCCTCAGTCTTTTCTGGAGTTCCCTGTTCAACCAAGGGGGCTTTTTAGTCCCCTTGCCCCCTTTCCAGTGTAATAGAATAGTTTCCTTTTGTGCCCCAAGGATCACTCCCTTGAGAAACCGTCTTGTCTCACTAGCAGGAATTCTGGTGTTGCCTATTTAAAAACTGCAAAATCCCTGATAAAAAAAATCTGGAAGTCTCTCTTTAAAATATCCCAAAATCCATGTTCTTTGACAAGTAAAACAAAATACCACTAAACATACAGAGAGAGAGATAAGTTGGGCAATGTTTTATTGATATATTTACAATTTTAAAGCAATTTGGAAGGCTACCAGTGCCTCCATCATAATAATACAATAAATTTTAAATATCTATACAGTTTGGCATTGATTTTTGGCTTTTTTGTCATAGAAAAAACAGAGCTACCCTTACACCCTTCGTTCACCAGGATGTGCAGCACTGATATGCCAGTGCCCTGCACCTGCCCTTGACCCTCACTCTCAACCCACAGCCTGCCCCCCACCCCAGTGTCCTCACTCCTGACCCACAGGGTCAGATATGGGAGTATGGGAGTCCCTGACAGTGCTATCTTATAGCAGAGTTAGTTTACTGCTCCCTAATACTGGTGTATGTACAAACAGTGATACTTTATTGTAGATGCACCCACTGTGACTTAACGTTTTGTCTGTTCAATGATCTTTCAATGTGGGTGGATTTGTATATTGTCTTTGGAGTTTGTATATTATAATAGTGAGCTTGTATAGTGTATATGGAGTTTGCCTTTCATTATTTATCAGCTGTAGAGTACTGTACAAAAGCTGTGTTTGTTCCTTCCATTCTAATGACTGTTCTCAGCAATGTGCTGAACTTCCATTAATCCAGGCAAAAGAGCATGAGTTAAAACTCATGCCTTGTTGGTTCTCGCTATAGCACCATACTACTGCAATGCCACTCCACCAGGCCGGTTTTATTTATTAAAAGATTTTATCATTCAAAAATAACTTTCATTAATGTGTTGCAACTTCAGTTGCTTATGCTGAACATGGTATTTAAATAACTTCATGGCATGCACATTTAATATTTTTCATTTAGCCTGAGGGCTTTCCCCTATAAGCTTTGCCCTCTTTATTTTACTTTATTATAAAAGATAGCAAATGATTTGCTTCATTGATTATCCTGCTCCAATTTTATTTGCAGATTAAATGCATAACTCATTAACTGATTTATATCAATGTAGCAATGAGGATTTTTCTTTTCTCTCAGCAGTGCCATTGTTGGGTGAGAGAGTTTTAAGCCCTTTACCCTTATTGCCTCTGGGATTAACACAAGGACTTAAATCAATAGGTTCATTCTAACTAAGGATGATTGGCATTTCACAGACTGTTAACTATCCTTTTGTCACAGGCCATTTAAATCATCTTGAATCATGTGCTCCAGTTGTCTAGGCTGATTAGACGGGTCTCAAAAGACTCATCTATTTTCATCTTTACTGTTTAAGTCTTGAATTGTTGGGTAGGGATTTCTTGCTTGTTTTGGTTTGTTTGTATATATTTATGCATGCGAAATTGTACTTAATATGAATAGCCCACATCCCTTGTTGTATTACATACCTACTATAAAAGGATGTGATTTTTATCTATATCCAATAGTGAATC